TGATATAGCAGTCTGTATAGGTACAAGTTTGTTTTAACTTTCTGGTTTCTTTCCCATCTAGAGAAGTTCCTTTAGCATTTGTTGCAGAGCTGGTCTGGTGGTGCTGAATTCTCTTAGCTTTTGCTTGTCTGTAAAGTTTCTTTTTTTAATTGGGATATAGTTGTTTTACAGGATTGTTTGTTTCTTCTCTACAGCGAAGTGGAGTTTCCTGTGCTATACAACAGGTTCTCATTAGTTATCTATTTTATACATATTAGTGTATATATGTTAGTCCCAGTCTCCCAATTCATCCCACCTGCCCTTTCCCCTCTTGATGTCCATATGTTTGTTCTCTACCTCTGTGTTTCTGTTTCTGCCTTACAAACCAGTTCATCTGTGACATTTTTGTAGATTCCACAAATATGCATTAATTTACAATGTTTGTTTTTCTCCTTTTGACTTACTTCACTCTGTATGACAGTGTCTAGGTCCGTCCACGTCTCTACAGATGACCCAATTTCATTCATTTTTATGGCTGAGTAATAGTCCATTGTATATATGTACCACATCTTCTTTATCCATTCATCTGTCAATGAATATTTAGGTTGCTTCCATAACCTGGCTGTTGTAAATAGTGCTGCAGTGAACATTGGGGTGTGTAAAGCCTTTGATTTCTCCATCAAATCTGAATGAGAGGCTTGCTGGGTAGAGTATTCTTGGTCGTAGGTTCTTCCCTTTCATCACTCTAAATACAGTATATTGTGCTACTTCCTTCTGGCCTGCAGAGTTTCTGCTGAGAAATCAGCTGATAACCTTATGGGAGTTCCCTTGTATGTTATTTGTTGTTTTTCCCTTGTTACTTTTAATATTTTTTCTTTGTCTTTAGTATTTGTCAGTTTCATTACTAGGAGTCTTGGCGTGTTCCTCCTTGGGTTTATGTGCCTGGGACTCTTTGTGCTTCCTGGACTTGGATGACTGTGTGAAGTTTTCAGCTATTATCTCCTCAAATATTTTCTCAGGTCCTTTCTCTCTTCTCCTTTTGGGACCCCTATAATGGGAATGTTGGTGCATTTAAAAGATCTCTTAGACTGTCTACATCTCTTTTCATTCTATTTTCTTTATTCTGTTCTATGGCAATGATTTCCACCATTCTGTCTTTCAGGTCACTTATCTGTTCTTCTGACTCACTTATTGTACTATTGATTCCTTCAAATGTATTTTTCATTTCAGTTATCATATTGTTCATCTCTGTTTGTTCTTAATTCTTCTAGGTCTTTGTTAAACATTTCTTGCATCTTCTTAATCCTTGCCTCTATTCTTTTTCCAAGATCTTGGATTATCTTCACTGTCATTATTCTGAATTCTTTTTCTAGTAGCTTGGCTATCTCCACTCCACTTAATTTTCCTTCTGGGGTTTCATTTTGTTCCTTCATCTGGGACATATTCCTCTGCCTTCTCGTTTTGACTAAATTTCTGTGAATACAGTTTCCATTCCACAGGCTGCAGGATTGTAGTTCTTGCTTCTATTGTCTGCCCTCTGGTGGATGAGGCTGTCTAAGAGGCCTGTGCAGGGTTCCTGATGGGAGGGACTGGTTCCCAGTGGTGGGGAGCTGGGTCTTGTCCCTCTGGTGGGCAGGGCTGTGCTCAGGGAGACTTTAAGCCACTTGTGTGCTGATGGGAAGGGCTGTGTTCCCGTGCCATTGGTTATTTGGCCTGAGGTGATCCAGCACTGGAGCCTACAGGCTGTTTGGTGGTAATGGTGGCCTTTGGGAGGGCTCATGCCAATGAGTAGTTCCAAGAACTGCTGCTGCTAGTGTCTTTGTCCCCGCACTGAGCCACAGACACCCCCTGCCTCCCCAGGAGACCCTCCAATGCTAGCAGGTAGGTCTGACCCAGTCTATTCTGGGGTCGCTGCTTTTTTCCTCTGGGTCCTGGTACCCTCAAGACTTTATGCATGCCCTCCAAGAGTGGAGTTCCTGTTTTCCCCAGATGTGTGGAAGTCCTGTGATCAACCCCATTGGCCTTCAAAGCCAGATTCTCTGGGGACTCCTTCTCCCATTGCTGGACGCCCAGGCTGGAAAGCCTGACTTGGGGCTCAGAATTTTCACTCCTGTGGGATAACTTCTGTGGTATAATTATTTTCCAGTTTGTGGGTCACGCATCTGGTGGGTATGGGGTTTGATTTTATCACGATTGCACCCCCTCCTCCCATCTTATTGTGGCTTCTTTGTCTTTGGATGTAGGGTATCATTTTTAGTAGATTCCTGTGTTTTTTTGTCGATGGTTATTCTGCAGTAGTGATTTTGGTATTTTTGTAAGAAGTGGGTGAGCTCACATCCTTCCACTCTGCCATCTTGAGCTAATCTGAACTAAGTGGGTTTAGATAGAAAGGAGTGAAAATGTCATTATGTGCAGATGAAATGTTCTCTACTAAGAAATTTTATACACAAGAAGATTAGACCTATTAGAATGAAAAAGATCATGCAACAGATAGCTCTTCACTTGTAAATACTTTGTAATTTTCATTTTGATTTCTTCTCTAACATGTTAATGTATTTTAAAACGTTTTCAGCTTCCATATATATGGATTCTTTCTGCAGTTATCTCTTTACTATTGATTTTAAATATTATTGATTGTAGTCATTGAATATGTTATATATGATGATTTTTTATATGTGAATTTGCCTAGTTTTCCATTATGCCCTATAATAAGTTTAATTTTTATTAATATTTTGTGTGTGTTTGAGGAGAAAATAGCAATCCAAATTTGCTGGGCTCAAAATTCTATATATATCTATTAGAAAGAACTTGTTAATCATTTTACTCATCTTCAGTAATCTTATTTATAATCTGCTTGATCAGTTAGTTTCTGGGAGAGGTATGTTAAGCTCCTTTAGGATGTTTTGTGTATTCATTTCTTAAATTTTTATCCATTTTGCTGCTTACATTTCAAAGCAATATAGTCACATAATATTTAATAATTCTAACATTTTCTTTAAAAATTGTTCCATTTTCCAATATTGAATTTTTTTTTTTTTTTTTTTTTGGCCGTGCCTCATGCATGCAAGGTCCTAGTTCCCCAGTCAGGGGTTGAACCCGCACATTGTGCGGAGTCCTAACCACTGGACCGCCAGGGAAGTCCTAAATGTTCCTTTTTGATGCTGTTTGCCTTGAATTCTGTTTTGTCCATTAAAAATATTGTTATGTATTGATCCTCCTGCCCCCACCAGTTGTGTGTGTGTGTGTGTGTGTAGTGTATCATTTTTTGTAACCTCTGCCTTCAACCTTGTGTTTTCATTCTTTTTTTTTTAAGTGCATTTTTTGTAAGTAATATATAACTGGCTTTCTAAAAATGTCAGTCAGAAAATCTTTATTAGTTAATAGATGAGTTCAGCAGTTACTGAGATTGTTGATATGTTTGTATGTATTTCCACCACTCAAAACACTGATTGAGAAAAACCCAATCAAGTAGAAGCCGAGAAAGAAGAGAGAAAATAGTCAAAATAAAACTGAGGTTCAGGGCTTCCCTGGTGGCGCAGTGGTTGAGAGTCCGCCTGCCGATGCAGGGGACAGGGGTTCGTGCCCCGGTCCGGGAAGATCCCACATGCTGTGGAGCAGCTGGACCCGCGAGCCATGGCCGCTGAGCCTGTGCGTCTGTAGCCTGTGTTCCGCAGCGGGAGAGGCCACAGCAGTGAGAGGCCCGCGTACCGCAAAAAAAACCCAACCCCCCCAAAAAAAACTGAGGTTCAAAGTAATCCTTTTAATATCGACATTGTAGATATAATTTCATTGTATTTTAGTGTTTTAAGTTGCTGATGAACAGTCTTTTTTCTAATCAATCCTCATCCCTTTGTCTTTTCACTCTTTTTACTTTTGAGATTTTCTTTTTACCCTTAATATCCTAAGGCTTTACTATTAGTTGATGAAGAGTGGGCTGGCTTTGTTTTGTTATTTTTAAATTTTATTTATTTACTTATTTTGGCTGCGCCTCATGGCTTATAGGGTCTTAGGTCCCTGACCAGGGATCGAACTTCAGCCCACAACAGTGAAATCAATGAATTTTAAGCACTGGATCACCAGGGAATTCCTGTTGTGGTTATTTTTTATTGTGCTCTTTCAGTCTGAGGAATCATGTATTTTTAATATATTATTCATTAATTATTGATTAGTTATTGCCCTTCCTCCATTCTCTTTATCCTGTAATTCTGAAACCCCTAATAGACCTATTTTGGATCTAGCTTTCATAATATGCCTTTTCTTTCATTTATCCCATCTGTTTGTGCTCATTCTAGTGGAATCCTCATGTTGTGTTTCTTGTGTACTACTTTGGTCTTAAGCTGTGTTTAGTCATTATTCAGCTATTCCACTGAATTTAATTTGGGTTTTGTTGATGGTGATGGTTGTTAATTAATTTCAGCAATCACATTCTTCTTTCCTAAAGACTTTGCTACACACAGGTAACGCGGCATCAGTTTCTGTTTACCACTATGGAATCCTGTCTAATTTCTTCATAGCTAACTTTTAAATTTCTGGTGTATATAAAATGTTCTTTTTTGTTTTCAAGAGCAGTGTTACATTTATTAGTATTTTTGTAATGATTCTATGTAATAACATAATTTAGTGTGGTGGTTAATAGCATAGACTCTGGAGGCAGAGGGCCAAGGCTCAAAGCCAAGTTCTGCCTCTTTGACAAGCTATTCAAACTCCCTGTATTCCATTATCCTTACTTTGATCATAATACTAATACTTATGTCATAGGATTTTTTGAGGATTAAAGGAGGTAATAAATGTCAAAATACGTGGCATATACCAAGTCCTCAGTAAATATTAGGTGCTATTAGTTGTAGTAGTGGTGGTAGTACTATATTAGTTATCATTATGCAACTGTATGTTTTGTGGAGATTTTCCCATGCTTTTGTAATCTGCCATGCCATCCCAGCCATGCCTTATATTACTTTTTTAAATTGAAAATGGGATCTAACAGACTTAAATAACTTATGGCTGCTCTTTCTTTTCTACAGATTGATCCTGAGTTAGAAAAAAAACTGAAAATGAATAAAGTGTCATTGGAGTCAGAGTATGAGGTACAGTATGCTAATGTAGCAATCTTCCTAGTCAGTGACTGGTTCTATCTGCTTTAAGGTAAATTCAAATTATTATCAGTACAGGAAAAAAATATTTACCTTAAATATATGTTATTGGAACAACTATGTAGTCGTTTGAAAAGAAAATAAAGATGGATCTATATTTCATATACTGTTTCATATCCATATTCTAGATGGATCAAGAATTTAAAAATAAAAAACAAAAGGTAAAAGTACTAGGAGTAAACAATGAAGATTCTTTTTAGTGGTCTTGAGTCAGAAAACCCTATTTAAATATGATAGAAAACCCAGAAGCTTTAAAAGTAAAAATTGCAGAATTCATACATAAAAATTCAAAAGTTCAAAAGTTTAACCTAAAAAAAAATAGTGTATATAAAGTTACTAGTTAAATGTGAAATTCTAAAAATATTGTTTATCTTAACATGATGAATAAATTTATTTAAATATGAAGAGCAAATCAGTATGGAAAATTTCAACAACTCACTTGATCAGTAGGAACATGGGCAGAGCATGTAATGAGTTCAGAGACAAGGAAATAAATATCATTTTTAAACAGATAAAGAGATGCTCAACTTATAATAGGAATGTTAATTAAAATTATAACGAGGTATCATTTTCCACCTATCTTAATAATGAAATCAAAGAGCTTAATAGCATGTTTTATTATAGGATGTGGAGAGAGAGGGTGTTCTCCATATCTGATCATATTTTCCCATTTCTTTTCATGTTTGGTCATTTTTGATTGAAAGGTGGACATTGTGAATAATATACATTGAAGAGACGTGTGAAGAGTGTTGATTCTCATTTTAGCATTTCAATCATTGGCTGATCATTTTGAGCTTGATTTTATGCTTCATAAGGGAGGATCTGTAGAAAGGTTTTGATGTTTCCTAAACCCCTCAAACTGTGGCATTCAGTCTCCAAATTGTTTACCCAGAGGATCTTGTCAGAGCTTAAGACTAGACCACTTTTTTGTTGTTGTTGTTTGTTTTTGTTTTATTGTTGTTGTTTTTTAGTTTAGTTTGGGACTGGACCACTTTTGCATGAAGTTGTTCTGCCAACCTTGCATCCCATTTAAGAATTATTCTCAAATTCTCTTGAGCATATAGGTCTTATGTTATCTGAGTGAAGGCCATTATTCTTTCTTTTTTTTTAATTAATTAATTTATTTATTTATTTGGCCGCGCTGGGTCTTAGTTGCGGCATGTGGGATCTAGTTCCCTGACCAGCGATCGAACCCGGGCCCCCGGCATTGGGAGTGTGGAGTCTTAGCCACTGGACCACCAGGAAAGTCCCCATTATTCTTTCTTAAAACCTTTTTATAACTTTGTATAATTTCATAAGTATACTTGAAAATAATTTACTCTGTTCTTGAACACTAAATTAGTAGAATTTTGTTCATCTATGTAGATTTAGTAGACTCCTGGTAAAACTGTAAGTGAAATTTAGAGAATGGTTCATTTACTATTTCCCCATTATCTTGTCAAAACCTCTAATTTGCTACTTCTCAGTATATAGCTATGGAGGGTTTGTCTGGGAGTGGACGTTCCGTAAAGTTCTTTTAGAAGCCGTAGAGTTTGAGAGCTGAAGAAATCATATAGACCATTTGGTCTAGCCTTTTCATTATTACTTTTGAGAGAATTAGTGCCCAGATAGCTCAAATCACTAGCCCAGGGTTATATAGCTTGTTAATAAAACAGTAGTGCTTAGTATCCAAGTGTCAAGGTAAATTGATATCATTTTCACTGTCTCTGAATAAAAGCTGTCCTGTGTTCTCTGTGTTTCTTTTTCTATCTTGTTCACTTAATTATTCCAGAATAACCAAAGCAGATATATGAAAGTTACTGTCAGAGTGGTGTCAGAAGGGTAAAGAAAGGTTTATGTTCTTCCCTTTTTTCCTATTTTCATTCCTGTGCTTGAGAGACACTTCACACTAACTAAAGATATGGTGATCCAAACTGTGGTTGAAGCTAGTTTTTATTGCCCCAAAAGAGCTTTGCTTATGGCAGCTATGGGGAATATCTTTTCATTCTTAAGCCCAGGCTCATTTCTTAGGTGCAGAACAAATCATCTTGGTCCCTATTCCTTCTAGCAGACTCTAGATTCTCCACTTTCGTTCTCTTCATTTACTGCCATCACCCATGTTAACCCATGCTAGTCATTATTATGCTGGATTAGTGTTCGGACCTGGAGTTTTGTTTTCCCAGCTTCTTCCCTTTCTTTGTGCTCTCAAAAATAAAACATGTACATTATTCAAGAAACGCAAGTTAAAACTACAATGAGGTACCACCTCACAGAGGTCAGAATGGCCATCATTAAAAAAATCTACAAATAACAAATGCTGAAGAGGGTTTAGGGAAAAGATAACCCTTGTACACTGTTGGTGGGAATGTAAATTGGTGTAGCCACTATGGAAGACAGTATGGAGGTTCCACAAAAAACTAAAAATAGAGTTGCCATATGATCCAGCAATCCTGAGCATATATCTGGAGAAAATTATAATTCTAAAAGATACATGCACCCCTATGTCATAGCAGCAGTATTCACAATAGCCAAGACATGGAAACAGCCTAAATGTCCATCAACAGATGAATAGATAAAGAAGATGTGGTGCATATTAATATATACAATGGAATACTACTCAGTCATGAAAAAGAATGAAATAATGCCATTTGCAGCAACATGGATGGACCTAGAGATTATCATACTAAGTGAAGTAAATCAGAAAGAGGAAGACAAATACCATATGATATCACTTATTATGGTATCTAAAATATGATGCAAATGAACACATCTACAAAACAGAAACAGACTCACAGACATAGAGAACAGACTTGTGGCTGCCAAGGGGGAGCATGGGGGAGGGATGGATTGGGAGTTTTTGATTAGCAGATGCAAACTATTATATATAGAATGGATAAACAACCAGGTCCTACTGTATAGCACAGGGAGCTCTAGTATTTTGTGATAAATCATAATGGAAAAGAATATGAAAAAGAATGTATGTGTATGTATATACATATATATGTATAACCGAATCACTTTGCTGTATAGCAGAAATTAACACAACATTGTAAATAAGCTATAATTTAATAAAATAAATTTTTAAAAAATATAGAGTTTTTCTGTTTTAATAGTTTAATTCTGATGAGGGGAAAGATAGGCAGTAACATCAACAGGAAGTAAGAAAAATTTTAAGTCCTAAGAAATATGACATTTCTTTAATTATTAAGCTTGATATGCAGTTATTTACTAGAATTATAAGTGAGGGCCTATTGGATTCTTTCTACTCATTTATTCATTCATTCACTGAGGTCCTAATCGAACCCACAGGGCTCCTATACTAATATTTATCCTCTAATATTTGTGGCTCTATAGAAAATAAAAGACTCCACTTTTGATGACTGGAAGAATATTCGAGGACCCAGGCCTTGGGAAGATCCTGACCTCCTCCAAGGACAAAATCCAGAAATCCGTAACACTAAGACAACTTGACTATGCTGATTCTTTTTTTTTTTTAAATAAAAATGTTATCAACTGGAATTCCCACCACATACTCCTATCCATTGGAAAGAAAATTACAGACCTGCAGAAGCCTGGATGGGAGTAATTTGATGATAAGTACTCTTGATAAAAAGTTAAGTACAGGTTTCTATACTTCCCAACTCTTTTATTTGCAAATGAAAGTAACAATGTTGACCACATATACTTTTTACTGCTCAATAAAAATGTGAATACTGCCACTTAAAGAGTGTCATTTATTCCACTCCCAGGTACCCACCCATATTTCTTTTCCCCCAGCCAGTAGGGCAATCTGATTCCTAATGAGAATAATAGGTCTGGATCCAAATCTTCACAGTAACATCAAGCAGGATTTTATGTCAGACCTATGTGGAAAATAATGTTGATCAGCCTGGTAAGAGCCTTGTCACATGTCAGGCTAACCAGTCTCCAAAGCATCACCTGATGATGGTGCTGATACCATTAAAATGCGTTAAGATAGTTTTATTGCTCCAAGTTAAAGCAAAAATCATGAGGTCATAACTTCCATCCTAATATACAAAAAAAAAAAAATGCTGAAAAACTGAAAACAGTATGCTTTGATCCATGAGAGAACTGAGGTACAGGACAAAACCATCACCCTGAAAACCTGAGACACAGAGAAATATAAAGAATCACAGTTTACCTGGAGGAGAAAACACCTGGAAACCACTTCTGGGCCCAGCATCAGATAGGAATACCTAAAGGGTAATTCACTAATTATTAGAGACTGAGCATGGACTAACCTGAGAGATAAAAACTCCTGGAGACCAGGCCAGGGACACACTTTTACTTCCTGGAACCCCACCAAGTTCTCACAGTGAATGTCAGAGAAAAATCTTGTTCTTCTAACAAGGGGAGGGGAAGGTAACCATTTTGAAATGTGCCCTCCAAATTCTGTACTTAACAAAAGACTGGTCTCAAAGGAAACTGTTTTGTTAGAGCTTAATTATACTGGGTTTTACCAGAGCCTAACCAACTGGCGTAAGGGAAATACCCAACTCTGCCTCCCTCTAGCCTTTCTGTCTCACCTAAATGGAGGAAGAGGGGTGGGGAGTAACACTGAGAAGCAGTTGTGCAGGTCACATACCAGGATCCCATGATCACTAAAAGACTAAGATCTAATCAAAAGAGTATAGAAGGTTCCCCTCACTTTCCACATTACTGCCACATCGCCAAAGGCCCACTCACTGGAGTTTCTTTTACACAGTCCAACTGGTTATCATGTCCAACTTTCCACAACAACAACAGAAACTACAAGGCATACTAAAAGGCAAAAAGCACAGTTTGAAAAGACAGGCTAAGCAAGAGAATCAGATTCATAAATGGCAGGGATTGGAATCATCATACTGAGAATTTAAAATAAGTATGGTCAGTATGCTTACAGCTCATGAAAAAAAGTACACAACATGCATGGACAGTTGGGTAATGTAAGCAGAGAGAAGGAAGCTCTAAGGAATCATAAGGATATCAATATAACAGAAATGAAGAATGATGTAGTCATCAGTAGAGTAGATATGGTTGAGGGAGGGAGAAAAAGGAGGCAGAAGGATACATATACCATGTTAACACTAATCAAAAGAAAGCTGAAGTAGCTATTTAATTCAGGCAAAGTAGGAAAATTAAAATTTAAAGCAAGGAAAATTATCAGGGATAAAGAGGGAGCATTACATAGTGATAAATGAGTCAATTCTCTAAGAAGACAACAATCTTTAATGTGTTTGTACCTAATGACAGAGCAGCAAAATAAATGAAGCAAAAACTGACAAAACTGCAAAGACTGATAGATGAATCCACTCTTACTGTTGGAGATTTCAACTGCCCTCTGTCAGAAATGGATATATCCAGCAGTCAGAAAATCAGTAAGAACATAGTTGAACTCAACAGTAGCATCAATCAACTGGTCTAATTGAAATCTCTAGAATACCTCATCCAACAACAACAGAATACACTCTTCTCAAACTCATAACATTTATCAAGACAACATTCTTGGTCATAAAACACACCTTAACAAATTTAAAAGAACAGAAATTATGCAAAGTATACTCTCAAACCACAATGAAATTAAGTTAGAAATCAGTAACAGAAAGCTACTTGGAAATTCCCACATACTTGGAGATGAATCAGTACACTTCTAAATAACACGTCCAAGAAGTCTATAGAGAAACTTAAAATATTTTGAGCTAAATGAAGTTGAAAATACAACTTATCAAAGTTTGTTGGGTGCAGCAAAAGCAGTGCTTTGAGGGAAATTAGAAGCATTGAATACATGTATTAAGAAAAAACTCTAACATTGTTAATCTAAGCTTCTAATTTAGGAAATAAGAAAAAGAAGCACCACTTAAATTCAAAGCAAGCAGAAGAAAAGAAATAATAAGAGCTGAAATCTGTAGAGAAAATCCACAAAACCAAAACCTGGTTCTTTAAAAAGATCAATACAATTGATAAACCTCTAGCCAGACTAAGAAAAAAAAGAGAGAAGACACAAATTACTAATACCAGAAATAAAAGAGGGACCATCACTATTGACTGTGTAACAACATTAAAGAATAATAAAGGAATATTATGAACAAATTTATGCCCACAAATTTGATAACCTAGATAAAATGGATCAATTCCATTACCTTTCACTTACTTGAAATTTCATTCCTTGAAAGATACAATCTGCCAAAACTCACACAAGAAGAAATAGGTAATCTGAATAAGCCCATGTCTTTTAAAGAAATTGAATCAATAATTAACCTTCCAAAACAGAAGGTGCCAAACACAGATGAGTTCAGTGGTGAATTCTACCAAATATTTAAGAAAGAACTTATACCAGTTCTCTTCAACCTCTTCCAGGAAATACAAGCAGAGGAAATACTTCCTAACTCATCCTCTGAGGTCCACATTATCATAATACCAAAAGCAAACAAAGACATTGCAAGAAAGGAAAACCATAGACCAATATCACTCATGAAGATAGATGCAAAAATCCTCAAGAAATTATTAGCAAGTCAAATCCAACAATGTATAAAAACAATTATACACCACGACCAAGTGGGATTTATCCCACGTATTCCTGGGGTGGTACGGAAGGCTGGTTTAACATTCAAAAATCAATTACTGTAATCCATCACATCAATGGGCTAAAGAAGAAAAGTCATATGATCATATAAATACATGCAGAAAAAGCATTTGACAAACTCCAACACCAATTCATGATAAAAACTCTCAGCAAACTAAGAATGAAGGGGAGCTTCTTCAAACTGATAAAGAACATCTACAAAAAATCTACAGCTGACATTATATTTAATGGTGAAAAACTAGATGCTTTCTCAGTAAGATCAGGAACAATACACAATGTCCCCTCTCATCACTCCTATTTAACATCATATGGAAAGTTCTAGCTAATACAATAAGAAGAAAATAAAAGGTATGTAGATTAGAAAGGAAGAAGTAAATGTCTTTGTTAACAGGTGACATGGAGAATATCTTGGAGAATCAACAAAAACAACCTGGAACAAATAAGAAATTAAAACAAGGATGCAGAATACGTAGTTAACATACAAAAGTCAATCACTTTCCTATATGCCAGCAATGAACAACTGGAATTTGAAATTAAAAGCACACTTTCATTTATTAGCATAAAAAAACCCTTTGGTATAACTAACAAAACATGTATGAGATCTAAATGAAGAAAACTACAAACCCTCTGATGAAAGAGATCCAGGAAGATTTAAATAAATGGAGTGATATGCCATGTTCATGGTTAGGAGGACTCAATATTAAGATGCCAGTTCTTGGGACCTTCCTGGTGGTGCAGTGGTTAAGAATCCTCCTGCCAATGCAGGGGACACAGGTTCAATCCCTGGTCCGGGAAGATACCACATGCCATGGAGCAACTAAGCTTATGCTCCACAACTACTGAGCCTGCACTCTAGAGCCCGTGAGCCACAACTACTGAGCCCTCGTGCCACAACTACTGAAGCCCATGTGCCTAGAGCCTGTACTTGGGAACAAGAGAAGCCACTGCAATGAGAAGCACGCACACCACAACGAAGAGCAGCCCCCACTCGCTGCAACTAGAGAAAGCCTGTGTGCAGCAATGAAGACACAATGCAGCCAAAAAACAAAAAAACAAACAAACAAAAAAACCCAGTTCTTCACAATCTGATATATAGGGTCAGTGTAATCCCAGTCAAAATTCTTGTGAGTTATTTTGTGGATATAAACAAGCTTATTCTAAAGTTTCATGGAAAGAATCATACATGATGAGAATGATTCATCAAATAGAGAACATTGATAAAGAATTAGAAATTACAAAATAGAAACAAATGGAAATTACGGAGTTGAAAAACTCAATGACCAAGATGAAAAATTCACTAGAGAGGCAAAACAGTAGTTTTGAGTATAGAAGAAAGATTTGAGTAACATGAAGATGAATTGATTATGAAATCTGAAATACAGAAAGAGAAAAGATCTAGATAAGATACAACAATTATAAAACATATATACAACTAACAACATAGCCCAGTAATACAGGAAGCCAAAAAGGCAACTTAGGAAAAGGCAACTCTACAATAATAGTTGGAGACTTCAATACCCTACTTTCAATAATGGATAGAACAGCTAAGCAGAAGATCAAGTAAATAGAAGACTTGAAGAACACTGTAAGCCAGCTAAACTTGACAGACATCTATGGCTCGTTCTACCTGACAACAGCAGAATCCATATTCTCAAGTGTACCTGGAACATTCTCCAGGATAGACCTTATGCCTGGACGTAAAACAAGCCTCAGTAAATTTAAAAGGATTTCAATCATACAACATCCTGGGAACTAAATTAGAAATCAACCATAAAGGAAATGTTGGAAATTTGCAAGTATCTGAAACTTAAATGTAATTAAATGTCCAACTGGCCATTTGAGAAGAAGTCACAAGGGAAATGAGAAATACTTTGAGATGAATTACAATAAAGACACAACATACCAAAACTGTGGGATGCATCTAAACAGTACTTAGAAGGAAATGCATAGCTGTAAACACCCATATTACAAAAGAAAATAAAAGAGAGATCTCAAATTTAGTAACCTAACTTTCTACCTTAACATATTTGAAAAAGAAGAGCAACAAAACAAAAGCAAAAAACTAAAAGCAGAAGAAAGTAAATAATAAAGATTATAACAGAAGTAAATGAAAGAGAATAGAAAAACAACAGAAAC